AGGGTGGCTCAGAAGGGTAGCTAGCATTTAGCTAGGTTCAATCTCTAGCACCACAAAATAAAGAAAAATAAATAAATGAATAAAGACGCTCACTGGATTCCTGAGCCATATCAACAAATACAAACTAAAACGAGGCCAGAAAACTCTCCATTTTCACTGGCTCCTCACACAAAATCTGACATGACAATGTTCTTAGCAAGAAACCAAAGGGTATAGAAATTTTCAGATTACTTTTAACATACACCATTGAAACTTCTATTATAAAAGCCCAAATATTTTGTTACTGCATAAAAGAGGATTCTTCCTCTTTTAGAATATCTATGAAATGGAGGAAAAGTAGGATGTAGAGACATAGCTCAGCTGGTAAAGTACTTGCCTAGAGTGCAGTTCTATTTTCAATATTCGGGACAGCATAAAACCTGGCTGATGACGTATTAACTAATCCAGGCAGTCACATAATGAAAACTTATAGGATCAGAAGTTCAAGTCATTATAGGATACAGCCTGGGCTACATGAGACTCTTTCAAAATTAAATAAATAAATAAATGGATGAATAAATTTTTGGCTTGTTCATTTTGTTGTGTTTTGAGACAGACTGCCAACAAATTCCTGCCATAGGCTCTCTCCCAAATCTGGGATTTACACTAAACCTACCTAGCTTAAGATTTATTTTCATTTTATGGATATGAAATTTTTACCTTCATGTATGTCTGTGTGTGACTAATGCCCACAGAACCCAAAAGAGGGCATCATACCCTTAGAACAGGAATTACAGACAGTTGCTATCCTCTATGGGTGCTGGGAATCAAACCCAGGTCCTCTGGAAGAACAGTCAATATTCTTAAACCTTGAGCCATCTCCAGCACTTAAGATTTTATGTGTCATTTTATACGTTTTACTAAAATGGAAAACAATACAGTATAGACAATAAGACAGTATTTCATGTTGGAAAGGATCTCACTGTGTAGCCTTGAATTCAAAGATTCATCTGCCTCTGCCTCAAAAATACTGGGATTAAAGGAATACATCATCACACATGACAATTGATTCTTAATTTCTACTTCAAGGGAGTGAATAGATGACTCAGCAGGTAACAGAACTGGCTACTCTTCCAGAGAACCTAGTCAGCTCACATTTATCTATAATGCCAGTTCTAGCAGGCCTGATGTCCTCTTCTGGCACCAAGTACGCACAAGGCATAAATGTAGTGCACAAACATACATACATGCAGTCAAATACCCATGCACATAAAAAAATTTAATAAGGTAAAATTCTACCTCATTGACTGTGTCAAGTACTGTTCCCCAGGGAGCAATTTACCCAGCTGAAAACAAGAAGTCTATAAAATAAGAAGGCCCTGGCTCTAGCAATTCCCTTAGCAGCATTCATTTGACCTTCAGCAAGTTATTTAACCTCACTAGCCTCCGTTTTCTTTCAGGAAGGATTAAATAAGATAATGCGTAAAATATTCAACACAGTGGCTGGTACATGCCAGTCCTCAGCAAAGAAGCCATTAAGTGCATCACCTCTATAACTGGGATAGAAGCCTGTAACCTGGACTAAGGAGGTAGAAGTAGGAAGGTCAGGTGTTTTAAAGTCACCTTGAATTACAAAGCAGGTCATTGTCTCAAAATGTAAAAAATAATCTCTAAAACCTAAGAGGACTCTTGGTCAGAAGGAAAAATGGTTAATTCTTGTACTCTGCATTTTGTTGTTGTTTTGGTTTGGTTTATTTTTTTAATATTTATTTATTATGTATACAGTGTTCTGCCTGCATGTATTCCTGCATGACAGATGGGGTACCAGTTCTCATTATAGGTGGTTGTGAGCCACCATGGGAATTGAACTCAGGACCTCTGAACCATCTCTCTAGTCATTTTGTTTTTAAGACAGTGTCTATGTAGCCCTGGTTGTCCCGGATCTATGTAGACCTGGGTGGCCTTGAACTCATTCCCAAGTGCTGAGATTAAAGACATTATGCCACCATGCCAGGCTCTGTACTCTATTTTAACCCCACATTTATACCTTTAAAATCTTTTTAATTAGTCTATTGTACTGAGGGACTTCTTGGTGTTTAATGTAATAAATCACAGAAAACTGCCACTAACTAAATCCGCAAGGGAGTAAGTCATAACCTAATAATATCACAAAGAAATACACAAGCTATCCAATTTCATGAGTGTGTATAAGGTGCTCTTAACTGGCTTTCCCAATAGCCAAAATGGTGAAACACCATAATCCAATGACTTTGTCTCAGGGGACTTTCAGCAACAGATACATTTTTCACTATCACAAATGAGGGTATGCACTACTACTAGTATCTAATGGGTACAGAACAGAAATGCTGTAACCTTCACTGCACAGGTAAAACCCTGCACAGCCAACAATTGCCCTAAAGGTACCAGAGGCGAAAAATTCTGTAACCCAGAGTTCTGCTAAACTACTGAAGAACAAAGTTCTTCATTACAGGATAAATTCTCCCAGGTAATAAATCAAAATCTTTTATTACTGGCAGACTACTGGCTCAACAAATGCAGCCAATGTTGAAATTCTAGGGCTGAGAACATTTAACACGTTTGTATTACCTACTCAGTGTATTTTAATATTTTTAAGGCATTTATTATCAAATCTTATAAGTTCACTGATTTCAAGAGATTACATTTTACCATTCTTTATTATTTTCAAGTGATACTAGAAAACTCATTTATAAATTGCTACTAAAGTAAAGCATCTTGATAAGCACCTTTATTTTAGGTACTAAATAAATCTAATATTTTCACATTTCAACTAACAAACCTTGTTCCATACATTTTGAACAAGTTAATTAAAATCCCTAAAAAAATGACTTTATTATTACATTGTCTCTAGTCAAGAAAGCAAAATAATTGTAAATAGTAATTTACAACTAGGTAACTTTATAAGAAAGCCTGAAAAGTTAATCATGTTCTATTCTCTCTTGCAATATATTTTAGGATACCTCATAAGAAAAATCAACCATTGGTTAAGAACCTTAAAAATGTTTTGTCTATTATTTTTGTGAAGAAAGAAAAGGGACATGAGCCTACTGTGCTGACAAAGGATACAAATCCCAGCACTTGGGAAACAAGAAAGATCTACGAGTTCCAGGACAGCCAAGGGCTCCATAGAGAAACACTGCCCCCCCCCCCCAAAAGGCTATATTTACAAATGGGCATTAGTTTTGGTTTGGTTTTTCAAGACACGTTTTCTCTGTGTAGCCCTGGCTGTCTGGGAACTCACTCTGTAGACCAGGCTGACCTTGAACTTGGAGGTCCGCCTGCCTCTGCCGCCAGGGTGTTGGTATTAAAGCAGGCTTCACCACTGTCGGCCAGGGTAGTGGTTTTGTTTTTTTTTTTAATATAGTAGTACTGTTAAAATCTTTTGCACTTTTAAAGATGTTTGTCATTTCCATTATATAACACTTCTGTTTTAATACTTAGTTCTGTCTACTTAATGATTTGCTACATAATAAAAACGTATTCAGATAAAGTTTTTTTTTTTAATTGTGTTTTGTTGTTTTTGAGACAGGGTTTCTCTAAATAGCCCTGGCTGTGCTGGGATTCACAACTGTAGACCAGGAAGGCCTCAAATTCAAAGATCCGCCTGCCTGTGATAAAAAATTCTTAAGGAGAGTAAACTCTTCATTCCTTCTCCCAAAACAAAATAAAGGGAGGAAAAGACCACAGTAAAAGGATACTTTTAAGTAAAATAAATTATTTCACTTCTTTCGAACAAAGTATTTCTGACCGGTATAACTTTTCCATTCACTTCAAAATCACTGTCCCATCTAGAATTTTAATCCAAACCTGCTAGCTCATGGTCTAATAATAAACATAATTATACAATCTGTACCAGCCCTTGTCGACCTTTTCCTTAAGAAGACATAAAGGTGATTTGACACCTCAAACTCACAGAAATCTATTTCATCTATCTCTCAACGCTTGGTTAGAGGAGGGCAGGGAAAGGGGGGGGGGGACCGGCTACAGGTTGAGGAGGGGTAAGATCGCCCGGACCCAAGCAAGGCACACGCTTGGCGCTGGACCGCAGGGGTAACTACCGGTTCATTTCTCTTTAAATCTGGCAGCACGTGGGGCGGCATTGTGAAGCCACCAACCCGCCTCCTCCCTCCTCTCCCCCCTCCACTCCGCACACGTACACCTCCAGCGCGCATGCTCCCCTCACACAGTCCTAGCAGAGTAGGAGCCAACCCCCTAAAAAGTCAACCTGGAAGCCGCAAACGGCCGGAGGCCGGGACAATGGGGGAGGGGGACAGAGACTCCACGGGGGAGGCACTCAGCCGCCGCCCTGGCCAGAACCTGAGGCGGGCCACAGCCCTGTGGCTGCGGGCCTGCGCGGGAGCAGGAGCCGCGCCGAGCACAAAGCCCCGGCCGGCCAGCGAGCGGCTCTCCTCGGCACCCGCGCCCACCCTCCCCCAGACGGGCGGCGCAGCCCCGAGTTCGTGCCAGGCGGAGGCAGGCGAAGCGGAGTCGCGCACCCCGCCGAGCCCTCGACGCCCCGCGCCAGCACCCTGGCCACCCGGCCGTCGCTTTTGTTGTCCGCCCTAACTCCGCGGACCCCGCGCCGCCGGGCCAGAAGTTTGGCGCGCCTCCCCTCTCCGGGACTCGGACTCGCAGTGGCGCGGGGCCCGCACACTCCCCGGGGTCCCTGAGGTCCCGCGGCCTCCGCCGCACCTGAGCCCGGGATCCGCCCCTCGGGGAGGGTCGGCCCGGCCGGGACCCACGCCCCTCCCCCGCAACGCCCCAGCTCCATGGGGGAGGGGGCAGCCGCCCTGGGCGCCCGGCCCGTCCGAGGGCGAGGCTGGGGCGCGTCCCCGCCCCCAACACCCTCCGGAGCCGGGCCAGCAGAGTCGCCGGCCGACCGGCCGAGACCCACGGGCTCCCACCCTCGCGGCCTCCGAGCGGGCGAGGGGAGGCGAGGGGCTCGTCAGCCTGCGATCGCGGCCCGGCGCCCCACCGCTCACCTGCCAGCTGTCTTCGCAGTAGCAGCGCCGACTGCAGCTCCGTCATCCTCCCCGCCAAGAGCCCGGGCTGCCGCCGGGGCTTCGAGGAACTGCGGACAAGCTCTGACGGCGGCTGAGGCTAGGTGTGTTGAGGAACCCGGGCCCCGCGACTGGAGCGCCGAAGCCGCGGGAGGCCGGTCTGGGGCGACAGGAGAAGCACCTAGCTGCCGATGCGAGTCGGCTCCGCTCCGCTTTCCTCTCAGCGCCTCACGCCCGGAAGGGGAGGATACCCGGGCCGCCGCGGCGCGCACTGGGACTTCGCTCGCCCGCTTCCCTCCTCAGCCCGCCCGTCGGCCCCACCGGTGCCTTCCCCCGCCACTGCCTCACTGCGCGCAGGGCCGCTCCGCGCAAGCGCGCTGAGCCTGCCTACTTCGGAAGCCGCACGCCTGCTAGCCCGACCCCTCGGCCCTGCTGCCCCGCCTCCAGCGGCGGAACCCCGCCCACCGCGCGCCGTGGGCTCAGCCCGGCCATCTTGGGAAGGTCCACGCCCGCCTAACTGCGGAAGCCTCGGCTGGTAGACGCCCCGCGGACGCCATGACAAAGAGGTCGCGAAGGGTCAGGACGCTGCCTCCTGATGTCAGTAGGAGGTCTGAGCGACGGGACCAGAGGGGCAGATGTCGAGTTGTTAGCGGGCACCCAGCAGCCATCTAGCACTACATATACGAGGTGTGCGAATTAGACATTGTTACAAAGCCGAATTTAGGACTGGTGTGCCCCATTTTAAGCATGGTGATAATTCATAAAGAATGCACAGAATTATCCTTGATATAAAATGTTCCGAATCTCATAGCAGAGAACGTTTAAATAAACAATTAGTAAGACTGAGCACAGTGTGGAGTTGTGATTAGCACAATCTTGATACACGGTTAATTGAGTGGGTGCTTTATACCTGTAATACCAACACTGAGACTGAAGCAGGGGAATTGGGAGAAGACTCCGCCCTCACTACAGAATGATACTGTCTTCGCCTGGGGATGGAATCCATAATAGAAATTGTCTAGAAAGGCACCTACTATGTAAAGTCCAAGTGTGAAATCCAAGGTTAGGAAAAATAAACCTTATCCAGCTGTATTTAATCTTCCCCGTTTCGAAGTCTTGTGCTGTCAACGCCGTAGCAATAAAGAGTCAACGAAGAAAGGGGAAGGAAAAATAACAATGACAGTCAATTTTGTTTGTTCTTTCACTAAATGTTTGTTTAATCCTTAGTTCCCTGTACCTGGACTGTAGAAAACAAAAACTCTGCATAGGAAAGCAACTACATTTCTACCCATAAAGGCCTGCAGCTTCGGTGAGCTCCAAGTAAAATGAACAAGAGAAGCAGATTCCAGCAGGTGTGTTATAAAAATTAAAGCACTAGCAGGCACAAGACCCTGGCTTACCTCCCTATAGCACTGTCCCACCAGACCAAGGGAACAAATAAGCATTGAGTGAATACTACCAATTTACGGACTAAGCCAATTTTATGATTTCGGAGTTTGGTTGAGGCAAGGTTTTTCTGGGTAGCCCTGGATGTTCTGTTACTGCTCTGCAGACAGGCTGGCCTCAAACCCAGAGGTCCACCTCCCACTGCAAGGCATTCACCTCCACACCCTGCTGGGTCTTGTTTTCAAGGACTGTTTGTTTGTTTGTTTGTTTGTTTGTTTTAATGTGTCTGTGTATGAGCCTGTGTGAGTTTATGTGCACTGTGTGGGCACCTGGTGCCCAAAACTCAGGAGAAGGCATCAAATGCCCTGGAACTGCAGTTGCAGGATTGTAAATGTGGGTGCTGTCCTCTGTGTCCTCTCAAAGGCAGAGAGTGTTCATGATCCTTGATGATCTCCCCAGCCCCTATCCTTTTGAACAATGCGTTTCATTATGACACTTTCATACATGTACTTTGCTCATGTTCACACACGTTCTTAATTACCTTGTCCCACAGCCCTCTCCCACTGGTTCCCTTCCTCTTATACCTTCAGTCTACTTTCAGTTTGTATTGAAATTTAGATTCTACGTCTAAGAGAGAAGAGACATCTGTCGTTTTGTTTTTTGTTTTTGTTTGTTTGTTTGTTTTGAGGGAGGGTTACTCTGTAACAGCCTTAACTGTCCTGGAACTTGCTCTGTCTTGAACTCACAGAATCTGCCTGCCTCTGCCTCCCGGGTGTTGGGATTAAAAGCATGCACCACCACTGCCAGGCCACATTTGTCTTCTTAAGTGTAACCACAGCTTATTTCACTTAACATGATGCGCTCTCTCTCTAGGTGCATCCATTTTCTTTCAAATAACTTGTTCTTTTCCAATTATTTATTTTTATATTATGTGTATGTGTGAGTGCCTTCATGGAAGTATGTGCACCATGTGTGTGCACTGCGTCTGGAGGTCAGAAAGAGATTACCTAGAAACAGAAATACAGTTGTGAGCTGCCTTGTAGGTTCTGTGAACTAAACCCAGATCCTTTGCAAGAGCTCAGAACCACAGCTCCAGTTCCACGGATCTGACCTTTTCTGGCTTCCATGCCAGGAAAGCATATGGTACATGTATATACATGCAGGCAAAGCAGTCATATACATGAAATAAATCTTTTTTAGGACTACACAAAGAAACCATGTTTCCAAAAAAAAATCTTTTTTTAAGTATCTTTTATTCTTTCTTATTTTTTTAATGCACTGGTAAGGATTTAACCCAGGGGCTTCTTATCTACTAGACAAGTGTTCTAACAACTGAGCTACATCTTCAACCCAATTTTTTTTTTTTTTT